ACACACACACACACACACACACACACACACACACACACACACACACACACAAACTATCACAAACAGACGAACGCAAAAAAAGCGAAATGTCGATATGACCGCGCCGAGGTGAGGGAGGAAAGTGTTAAGAAACGGCGTGGGCTTTGCTCCAACTGCGCCAGTTGTCAAACACTGACACGCCAAGACAAATCATTTACAGAGTTATCAATGCAAACTATTCCAAAAGTGCCATCCCCTTTTGCTGAGAAGTACAGCAGAAAATGTCTGATACAATGAAAACGGCCACTCATAGTCGAGGAGAAAAGCGGTTGTCTTTGACGGATGGTCGCCTTACACAGTGACGTTATGATGTCTAAAAAAGGAAGATGGAAATGGACAGGGGCCGATTGTACAGATGATTGTCTTCTACAGGTAGTGTTAGGGGACGTTCGATTATATTTCGTAAGGCCAGTCTTTGACAGTTATATAACTTTGCTATCCTCATGATTAGATGTATATGGGAATGTATGCAGTATCCGCCACCAGTTTCCATTTACTATTCCACGCTCCTTTGAGAAAGAAGGAAAAGCCTTTAATTCAACAATATTCACTGCATGCAATGGAGGATAACAAACAAGTTATTATTTTCTAATGAAGTGATTATTAAACTTTACACGAATATTAATTACGAGAAAACCCAATAGATTTAAAGCTGTGACCACCCTTCCCCCCCCAAAAAAAAAATTTTTTTTTTTTCAAATTTAAAAAACCGCCCAGGACTAATTATAAGAAACCGTTTCCCACCCCACCCTCTTTTCAGCACTGGATCCTTCCACTGGTACATCATTACAAATGAGGGTCACTCGGTCCCTATGAGAAGAATTTGAAGGAGAGGAAACTATTCCAGGACAGGCGACACAGAGTCTTATAGGGGTTTAAGCCTCAAATCACTTCGTGTCGTCGAACTTTGTCACCAAGCAAGGTTTTCTTATTATAATACGCAAGCCTCGACATTAAAATTTGACACTGAGCACGACTGGAACCCAAATATTCATATTCTGAACAGCCTAAAGTTGTCTAACTTTTGTTAGGTAGACTTTCCAGGCCCTAGTCCGGTAAGGTGGGTACACGAACACCCCTCCCCATAAAAAATAAAAAAATAAATGAAATCGAAATTTTAATAGTGCAAAGTAGAACAGATTATGAGAGAAATAAGGGAAAAAAAGAAATAATATAACACCTTAGAACAAAAATTTGACACACTGAGCTCTTTAAAATGTAAACTAGATACCATAAACAAGACCAAAAAACCAAAAAAAAACCAACAAAAAAAAACAACAACAACAACAACAACAACAACAAGCGGAACAGCGTTCCAAACTAAAAAATGGACGAAAAAGATACAAGATGGACAGAAGGAAGAACTAAGAACTGGTAGATCTATGTGCACACGTAACGAGTAGATCTTGTCAGTAACAGAGTGAAGAGACAAGGGACCAATTTGCCAACATCGTTTAGATACAACTGAAGACTGGATTCAACGTAAGCATATCTGTTGTGTTTTGTGATATAAAACAGACGGTTAGTTACAGAGCCAGGTCTCGATGACACAGAAGAAACCAATATCAACAAGTATTAATTAATAAGAACATCCCATCGCTTTCAGAGCTCTTGACTGGAGCAGAATACAGCTAGATCTAGCGTAATTGCTAATAAACAGGATTTATGAAGAACAACTCCACCGAACGATTGATCGAAAATGACGAAAGTGTCAAAAAAGAAAAAGAAAACACAAACAAAAGAGAAAAACTGTCATGTCATAAACTTTGAAGATACGGGAAAGAAAAAAATGAACCCATACACACACACACTTACACACAAACACACACACGCACACACACACACACACACACACACACACACACACACACACACACACACACTCGCACTTTTTTGTCGTGTTAATATGTATGTGGTCCAAATCGTGTCTATAACATCGCAAAAAGTACTATAACTAGATCTAGATAATCTAGATATCTAACGAATATCAATAAAATAAATACCGTGATATAAACACAAAATCAACGAATCAGCAATAATAATATCCTTCGACGGGTCACTCGTCTCTGTATAATGATATACAGAAACACGAACAAAAACGAATTATCCACAACACAGTCACTGTCACTTTGTACAAGGAACTCAGACACAGAGCAGCCTCTCTCTACGAAGCTCTCAACAGCTTTGTAATGGCAAGCAACAGGTAGGGTGAGAGAGACAGAAGACAGAGAGAGAGAGGGAGAGAGAAGGGAGTGGGTGGTGACGAACGACGAAAACTCGACGACCCTTCTTCCTTCTACCGCGCCTTCCCCCCTTCCCCCCGCCGTCTTCTTACACGGGTGACTGACGCGGGCCTATCTGCTGTTGGCAATCTGAGACTGGTGGTTAGGTGGTGGTGGTGGTGAGGTCGGTCTTTCCTTCGGCTTACCGCTTTCTTCTGACTGACACGAACACAGACACAGACACAGACACAGAGACACATACATAAACACATGCATACGAACATGATATACACATGCACTCACACATGCACACATACACACGCCCATACATGTGCGCGGATACACACATGTATACGCACGTACGTACGCACGCACGCGCACGCGCGCGCACACACACACCCACCCACACACACCCACACACACACACACGCACACACCGACACACACACGCACGCGCCCGCGTTCGCGCGTGCTCGCGTTCATACATAATATACACGCACACTTACGCACACAAAACAGAGTCCCATACAAACACGCAGGGACACATGTGACATATAGATACAGGCTCACACAATATTGAGTGGGCCCACATACGAAGACACGCACATTGAGGTACATGTATATCCCCCCTCCCCC